GTACTAGCAAAAAGAGACATATTTAAGAGCAACGAGAAGAAAGCCCGAAGAGGTATTCTTTCCCGCTTTCTCTGCAGTGAAGATTTTTTATTTCAAAATCATGGGAATAATATAACGAGGTTTAGAAAAAGGCGGGAGAATGTCCGAATGGAAGAATGTTGTAAATACTGGAGTTGACTGATGCAATATCCCGGATTCAACTCCCCAATTCTGATGACATAACAAGCTCTTCTGCAGCTGTCACACGAGAGCCCTGGGTTCAACTTGTCGGCAACACCATTGTGACTAGTCAATTGACCCGCCTTGCTCCTGCTGGGATTCTGTAGCAAATTTACTAGCTATTCGTTTGTTAATTTTGCTTGATTTTGCACTTGTTCCAGGGTCTTTGCATACCGTTCGTTCTTTAATTTGTCTCCCTTTTCATCACCGCTGTGTCACTGGTAGGTTTAAGGGCATCATTTTATCGAACAAGAGAGGATGAGGTTAAGAGAGTTCATCCGCCATACAGGACCTATTTCCAAGTTTGTTACTCTCTGGATATTTTTAGATCAATGCCGATTTTTAAAATCCCAGAAGGTTTCGGGGATAGTTAATCATGTGACACGAATTTTCTCACGCGGACAGCCCGAGCGACTTAATAACACGACTTAGCACTTAATTTCGTCCTCCAAGAAAACATTTGCGCAACGCTCGCCGTAACATTATACACGGGAGTACTAAATACCATCTTTAAAAATAACTTGCCAGGGATTACCTTTAGAATAAAACTTTAATGGAGAAATAACTCTCTTACCCTCCATTTTCTCCTGATTTCAAACCCATAACTCTTAAGATACAAGAGCAAATGCGCTAAAACACAAATGTGATTGGTGATTTTACATCAACCGTGAAATCGTCGTTATAAGGCTCGGGCCAATTCATGTTCGTATACCGAAGGCTCTCAGCTTGTACTTAGTTCTCTGTCTGTGTTCAGCGGATAACAGTTTTGTTCACATGAACAGGTGTTAATGAACAAGCTGTGGTTTGAACAATCCTTATCTGACGCGGTGGACAAGCCTCGACTGCCTACTCAACCGGTGCCCGATCAGGATGTATCTTATGAAAAGATACCTTTTGATAGTTCTGGGAAATATCGCATGTC